GCCATGCTGAATGAGGTGGGTGATATGAATAGAGGAGAAGGCTATACGAAATAAAGATTATAATGATAAGGAGGAAAGGTAATAGTAAACCCTTGACTTCAAGAGGTTTTAGTGTTCAAGGAAGCAACCACACGGGAGTCTGTGCCACAAAGTTGCAGTTTTTTTACGTCTGAAACACAGAGAAAATGAGGGCAATTCGACTACGTAGAAGAGACATGGCGGGTCCAAAGGTGTGAATTGGTGGAACAAAATAGTGGAGATCGTCTCTACATTTTCTATGGAAATAAGTAGAAAGGCTAGCAACGTTGCATCTTTAAGAAAGACTTTGCTGGCTGAAAGATAATCACACGCAAGACGATGCAAAAGATTTTGAACACTCCTTCAAGGCTGGAAAAATAAGAACTAAGCAGCTCCAGACCCGATATGGCAGCAATATTTGTAATCTTGTAAAGATAAAGGATGGAAAAAGGAGTCAGATACTTCCTGGAGTGATAGAATGAACCAACAATTTTACATTGAATATTGTAATTCCACTTGAAGTTTGAAATGAACTTAAGACCAATAAACGGAGACTCAGTTATGTAATTATGCATTAATTCGATTGTATAAATGGTGATTTTCAAGGTAGCCAGATCCTTCTGACTTGCAAGATTGTGTACGACAATCTTACAAATTTCTAATTTGGAATTGTAGTAATTTAATGTTAGAAAATATCTAAAAGTTACCTAAACTAAGTAAAAACTGCCAATGCTTATATGAAACTATTAATAATATGAACTGGTGTCATGTTACTGTTTCAGGTTGTATATATATATATATATATATATATATATATATATATATATATATATATATATATATATATCAGGGGCTTACTCTTGAGTTTTAAACATAGATAGATACTAGTTTTTACACAAATTTAGAGTGTTAAATGTGAATTTTGAATTGTACTCCTTTTGCGTTCGCTGTATACTTGATCAAAGAAACTATTTCGAAGTAATCGATGGAAACTAGAAATTTTTATTATTATTTTTTATAGTCGAAAGTTTGGCTATTGATTCAAACTTATATCAGCACCTGTAGAATTCGGATTGGCAAAATGTATTAATGAACTTTATCCATATTCTGCGTGGATCAAATTTAATGATAATGAGTTGATACGTGCGCTAATACTAGGAACATTTTCGGACCAACATTCAACTAATAATACAACCTCTCTTCTATAGGTTTTGTGTATTATGAATTTTTTCTATATATAATTTCCTGAAAATTTTCAATATAAATTGCACTCTATTCTATTAAGGAAAGGCGTTGTGTTAAGCAGATTGACAAGGGAAGAGATTATGTTGAAAGATAAATATTTGTTTTATAAAACAAATGCATTTTTACATCATTAGGCTGCAGACATATTGATAGACCTACAAAATCAAGATTCTTACGTACCTGAATTTCCCTTACAGGCAATAATGGCTCATTTTGACAACATCATGCCAACAGAAATTATATGTTTTCCTCTATACAAGATACAATGTTTCCCTATTAAATTATATCTTATTTATTTTGTGACTGAGAATATATCAATTTTAATTATATTTTCCTTCCTTACGTTCGTTATCCTCCTTCTCCTCCTCCTTCTCCTCCTCCTCCTCCTTAGTATCACTAGACATCTCTGTGGCTTAGGGGAACACAACATCATCACGTTAGATGTTGCTGCTGTGGTTCATGTAAGTAGATTTTTAGACGATGGAGTTGCCAGCCCAACCGGTTTTGAATTCAGATTGTCTATCAAGGCTAGAGAGCCTAGGGTGTACTGCTATTTAACGCATAACTAAAGGGAAAAGATACGGATTCGAACTTTTCCCAAGGGTATTTGTGCGAAAATGATCACAACGAACTCGGTCGGGATTTGATCTTGGTACCGCGGTTCCATTTCCCGCGCCAATAACCACTACTCCCACATCCATACGATATTGTATCTCCTACAAATTATAGTCATAAACATAAAAATGGACCTAAAAATGCGGTAAATCAGTTTGGACTTTTTCTTACGAGTCAACGGAATTGTAGTCATAAAATTCTTTCGCATATTAGATTTGATCTCATAAATTTCGGGAATTTTATTGCTGCTGTTCGTTTATAGTTAGGCAAAATTTTATATTATTTTTAATGCCATTTAAGAAATCATGACTCTACCCACTTTCATTTCTTTAATAGCTATTAACTCTCATGTTTTTTTTTTTAAAGAAAAGTATTGAAATATTCACCCGTTGATTTCTGAACGATTATATAGTCAAGGTTTTCCTAACTTTGCTTGGTTTCTTATCTAAGCCAAAGTACGTCTGGCTATTTATTTCTTCTCTTTTTCGTTTCTCTTCAGGACCTAGGGGATCATGGCTCTCCACAACTTTCTATCCTTTTATCGCTCTTAGTAATATTTGTTTGTTTTTTTTACTATCTTTCCCTCTGTCCGTTCTACCGTCGATTCATATAATCTCGTCAGGTAGACGATCCACCACCTCCCCTTGTCTCTTTTCTCTTCGTTATGTCCTGTGAGTTTCAAATTTTCCAAGACCTCTTTCCTCATTATGCACCCGAGAATATTCAGTTATTTCTTCTAAAGAATAAATGTCCTTTTTGTTTCCATTTTTCTTAAAACTTAGTCGTGGTCCTGTTCATGGTATCATTCAGTAAAACCACATTTCTGTTGCCTCAAATCTCCATCTATCTTATTCTATGTGCCGTGACTATTCAGGACGTCGGCGATCATGGCTCTCCACAATTTCATTTTCTTTGTAGCACTTAATAAGTTTTGTCTTTTTGTTATCTTCCCTAAAACCTTTTCCGCCATAACATCTAATCAAGTTCGCTAGGTAGGTTAAACGTTGCTTTCCTGCTGTCCGTTTTGCCTTTAATCTGTCCTGTGATTATCAAATTTTCCAAAACCACTTTATGTGCCTTAGAAATTTCAACTGACTCTTCTTGGTGCTAAGTATAAATTTCCTTTTGCTTCCATTTTCTCAAAAGTATTGCAGCCATATATGGGTCTGGTGCACCTTCTGTTTACCTCGGAGTTCTTGATAAGCTCCAGAGGTGGATATGCAATATAATTGGCCCTGTTCTAGCATCTCGTCTACAGTCGCTCTCTCACAGACACGCCGTTGCCTCTCTCTGTCTTTTTTACAAATACTTTCATGGTAATTGCTCCGAGGAGCTGCATTCGCTGGTTCCCAGACTTCATGAATTCAAGCGCCCTACGAGGCTGGCATCCCGCTCTCACCCTTTCACTGTCGAAACTATTAAATGTAGCTGTCTTTTCTACTCCAATAGCTTCATGTCTCACACCTCTCACCTGTAGAACTCCTTTCCCTATTCCAGTTTCCCTGAGCGCTATAATCTCCAACTATTCAAATGTAATGTTAATCAACATCTCCAGTTGCCTTGATCTATCCACTATCCTTCTCCTCATCCTTTCCTCTATCACTCCTATCTGATCTTGCTTCAAATCTTCTGTAACCCCTGGCGTCCTAGTGGCTTCCCGCCTTTCTTGGGGTGATAAGCTTAAAAAAAAAAAAAAAAAAAAAAGAAACTTCCTGCTTGCTCACGTGTTTGTCCTGGCAAGTGTTAGTCCATGGTATTCTCGGCACCCTTCAGTCGAACCTCATTTCTGTTGCTTCAAGTCTCTTCTTCATCTGTGAGGTGATTGTCCAGCATTCGCTGCCATATAGGAGGACTGATATTACATAACAATTCAGTAATCTTTTATTTGTTTCTAACGAAATTTTTCTGTATCTTAATTCAGTTCACGTTTCTGTTTTGCTCAGAGCTTGAAAAGAAGAGATGGACTTACATCCTCCTCAACAGCATTCGTTCAGTGTGAATGCAAACGCCTTGGTCGGGATTTGAACTCAGCATGACGATCTTATTTTCGACCTTGAAAGCTGTTAAGTCACCTGCATTTCAGCAGTGCTTCGTTTTATGACATCTTTAATATATAAATTTTTCATTTTGCCATAGAGTCACAGTTGGTAATAATGATTTTAAATACCCGTAGAAAACAGCCGAAGTTCAGTTTCAGTTAAATAAGGAACACTTACAAGAACTTTTTGACAAGTTTTTATTCTATTTTGTTTTATTTTATAAAGAGTATCTCTGACTGCAAAATATGTTTGTTTTATTAGTCCTAGGTATGACGATAAACTATATCCGGCAGAATCGGGAGATTGGAGGTTTTGAGAAGCATGGAACCACCCCTTAATTACTGTTGTACCCATGGCCACCCTGGCCCCAGGTGGTAGCACTTGTTAAAGTCCCAAATAGTGAACCCCCAAACAAACAAAAAAACTATGAAATTTCATTTTTATAGTAAAAATACCAGCAATACATTTTATATATATAAAAAAAAAATTACCAACAATACCTATTTATCGTAGAATTACCAACAATACATTTTATCTGTAGTTGAAGACAAGACATAGAAAATATTTAGATTTCGGCATTCAATAACTAAAAGAATTTGATATGCCACTAAACAAAATCAACCAACTGATTCTTTTATGATTGATTGATTTGTTTTCTACGGTTTATCAACCCATTGCTATTTATTTAAATCGAGAAAATATTTTTAGATTGTAAGAACAGTGGAGTAATGAATAGCGGCTCGGATTGAGCCGAGTTCGAATTCCAGTCGAATCCATTACATTCACACGTGCTATTACCCTCGGAAAGGCATGAATCCTCTTATTCTCCCCCGCCCCAGATATGAGTAATTAGTAGGATAGACCGAGTTCTATAGCCTTGAATGGCAACTAGTCTACCACAGAAAGAAATGGCAACCTACTGCGAGAAAAAAAACCTGCCTCGTCAGTCATATATCGAAAGATACAAGATCGCCTAAGCGTGTATCACGCATGCCACATAACTGAGTTGGGAGAAAAAGAGGCGGATTCATACGTTTCGCATTTGCGCGAAAGTGAATATAACGAACACAACTAGAAGTGGAACTCGGTATTCCCAAGCAGTCACCCATCTAGGTACTAACCCGGTTCGACATTGCTTAACTTCGCTGATCAAACGGGAACCGTTGTTTCATCGTGATGTGGCCATATGCTTTCCAAACTTTGATTCTCATTTCCAACTAAGAATCATTACTCAATGAAGAAACAAAATAAAAATTTTGAGATAGTATATTCAGTATTTGTAAATTGTGCATTGCGTCATGAAGGTTTATATGCATACGGTCTTTTGGACATCTCTTCGAATTGTGTGATTATATATATATATATATATATATATATATATATATATATATATATATATATATATATAATGTCATCCACAGACAGACTGTTTCGCAGCCCTTCCGGTTGCTTCTAGCTAGGATCGAAACCCGACTGAATTGGCGGCAGGGACGAAGGTGAATTTTAGCGTATATGTATATATATATATTCAGCACTATAAAAGTGTGAATGGTTCTGCACAAAACCTTCATCACTTAATCAAATCACATGTGCTGGTGTCTGGCTGTCGGTTCCAAGGGACCCAGCTTGACCCTCATACGTCGAATACGACGGGAGAGTTGAATATATGATAATAACGCAAGATGGTTCACCTATGGCACATATAATATGTATAATAATCGGCCTGTTATTGAAATTCGAGGAATAAAAAAAATCAAGAAAATGATAAAAGTATTGTCAATGACACTGATGATATTTATTAATATTATTTGGACTTTTGACTAAAACGGTGCACGAAAGTGAAAAGCCCTACTGTATTAGTAGGGCTTTTCACTTTCGTGCATACTAAATACTAAATACCATCAGTCTTATTGACAATATTTTTATCATTTTCTTGTTTTTTTATTCCTCGAATTTCATTAACCAACCTATGAAATACACACACACATGTTTATGTGAACAAAAATTATATATATATATATATATATATATATATATATATATATATATATATATATATATATATATATATATATATGATTTTTTTATGCAACTACTTTAAAAATTAACTCAAATTTGACTAAATCTTAAACAACTCCACCATTGACGTCAGTTTGACTTATGTAACTCAAAAATCAAGTAGAAGAAAATTAGAAAAAAAAATTAAATCAAGCAAAAGGTGTTATTAAATACAATATGTTATACTTCATTCGAGAACAATGCTACTAGTTCAGGTTGATTGAAACGTCATTATTTTCTGTTTATTAAAGCCAAACAAGAAAACTGAATCAACCATTTGAACAAATAAATCAAGCTGAGGAATGATAAAAATCTTCAGTTGTTTATAAAAATCTCTTATATATATATGAATTTTTACAAACAATCTTCAGTGGGTCTGACATTTTGTGGAGTATATATATATATATGAAATATATATATATATATATTCCATATATATATATAAATATATATATATATTTCATATATATATATATATATTTCATACATATACATATATATATTTCATATATATATATATATTTCATATACATATATATATATATTTTCATATACATATATATATATATATTTCATATACATATATATATATATTTCATATATATATATATATATTCCATATATATATTCATATATGTATATATATATATATTTCATATATATATATATATATATTTCATATATATATATATATATATTTCATATACATATATATATATATATATATATATATATATATATATATATATGTATGTATGTATATATGAATTTTATAAACAACTGGAGATTTTACCAGTATAATATTTTACCAGTATATATTTTTATATATATATATATATATATATATATATATATATATATATATATATACCACAGCAGCAAAATTGTCCAAATCGTGTAACAGCATAATAACTCACTCCACAAAATGTCAGACCCACTGTCTACCCAACTGAGTAATGCTGAGCGAGAAAAGATGATACCAACATCCATACACTGGTTTCCATCTTCAAATTACCTTCAAGAACCATCAAGACAACGCTGAATATGTTTAAAAAAAGAGGGAACAGTAGAGACGAAAACTGGATCAGGAGGTCACAACAGGGAGAGGGGGGTCATCATTCCAAATTAGAGCTAAAGTGATCAATTAGAAAAGATCCAGCCCAATTCATGTTTGACACGTGAGAGATGTGTTTTAGCTATCACAATCCAATGAACAGTGAAAAAAATTAATATGAAACCGTACGTGAAAACTTTACACATTAATCCAGGACAGAAAATTAAAAGATTAGATAGGGCGAAGATCATCTTGAATGAATTGGGAAAGGATCCTTGAAAATTATATGTATATTTGAACTTTATTTCAATCCTTCATGAGCTTCCGATCCTTAGCTATGATTAGTTAATGATGAACATGTCATTTTTGTTTATAATCGATTTCATATTTCGTGAATAAATTGCTATTATTTTTTATTTTAACATTAGTTATTGTTGTTAATCTTTTATTATTCCTAAGTTAAATTAAAACAAGCTTGAATATGCTGAGACGTTCGTCCAAAAGAGTAAGGATATAATAAAAAGGCTTAAACACTAATATTCGATGGTCATAATTTATTCCATTGGAATCGTAAATACGATCCAATTCATCAGACCTACAAATACGATTCCAGTGGAATAAATTACGACCATGGGATATTCGTGTTTAAGTCTTTTTTATATATATATATATATATATATATATATATATATATATATATATATATATATACAATGAATCATTCATACAAAAAGTAAATTAGTAATGTCAATGAGTTAAAATTGCGAATTCACTTCGCTAATTAAATTTTAAAAATGCATTAACCCACTCGATGAATGTTATGATCCTTGTTTTTTCAAATTATAAACTATATTAGGTTTTCCATAAATACGCAAGTACTTTCGACTGTTCTTCCGGACATCATCAGGCATCAAAACTATTTTGTTTTTGGTAAAATTCAGGTAGCATCCGAGATGAAAAAATATAATCAAAATCGAAATATATATATTTTTTAATTTGATATTGATAACGAATACAATCTTGCGGGGCGTGCAGTCACAACGCTAAGATTGAATTTTGAAAATTTAAGTGATTGCGTTTTTGTACTAATATGGCAATTTAAGATTTTTTTTTTTTGTAGCATTTATCAGCCAACGTGGCGTGAAGTAAATAGTTCAAGAAGTAAAGTTATGTCTCAGTTGTTATCCCGAAAATTAACTTCGCTAATTTACTTTTTGTGTGATTGATTCATTGTAATATAAATTAAACTGCACCAGATATTTGATATATTTAATATATATATATATATATATATATATATATATATATATATATATATATATATATATATATATATATATATATATATATATATAGAGAGAGAGAGAGAGAGAGAGAGAGAGAGTATCCGCTCCAAAAATGTATACACATTTCAGGAAAGAAAAAACTTGTATAGATATTGTAATAGTAAATTTATTAAGACAACGAGATTATCACAAGTTACCTCTGAAATTTACAATCACAAGAGATGATCAGAATAATGGTCTTTAGCTTCCAGACATTTATTAGCACATTGAACTACTGCTTGGGCAACGTTTGCCAAAGTGTCCAGTGGGATTGCAGCACTTGCATTTTCAATTTCTTGTCTAAAGGCCGCCAATGTAATGTCATCTATCGAGAAAATATCGCACTACAGTAAACACTGTAATAAAATAATTACATAAATAATTTTTTAATAAAACAATGAAAGACAAATTTTGCCTTTCCCGAAGTATGTACATTTTTTGGGGGGAGGGGAACTCTGTATAAAATTAAATTTTTCTTTAAAAATAAGATACTTATTTTCTAATAATTTAAAACAAAGGCCCAAAAAACTGTGTAAATGCATTAGCTTAATGCTTGTAAGAGAGTGAGAGACGTGTAAGTATGCATTTGCATAGAAACGTAAATAGATAGATAATCTAAATATGGTATTTGTTTTCACAAAATATAAGCATTAATTGTGAAACTAACTTAAATATATATAAATATAATGCAAATATATAGCGACCAGATATAAATGCATGTATTCATACATATATATCCAAACAAAGTTTAATTAGAAACATAACTATACTATATATATATATATATATATATATATATATATATATATATATATATAATAAATGAAATAGAAAAACTGTAGTTATTGCTGAAGTAACAAATAACAACAAAAACAGAATGTTCTTAGTAACTGGAGGAATGTAGAGAACGCTATTTTCATATTCCTCAAGTTGCTAAGAACATTCTGTTTTTTGTTGTTATTTGTTACGTTCTTTAATTAAATTCATTTCGTTTTTTACCTTGAGAAAGTCCACATTGGACGAAACGCGTCGTTAACTACTACCGTGTTCCTATTGTCATTTATATTTATAAATATTGTCTTTTCTACAGGTTAACTCTGAGAAATTTTCACACACACGCACACACACACACACACATATATATATATATATATATGACATACACATATTATATATACAAATATATATATATAGATAGATAGATAGATAGATAGATAGATAGATAGATACATACATACATATACAATAAATACAAATATATGTATATGTCTTTTTTAATGATATTTTTCGAATTTTCGAAAAAGGTCTTGAGTATTGTGCTTGAACTTGGTTAAACTGAACTTATAACACTTTCAGCTATGACAGTCATTATCAAGAACAAACGTGGTGCCTGTTTGGCAATTGGAATTACTTTACCTACATCCTGATATTCTTTGGAAAGCTGGAAGTTTGAAATGATGTGGCATGACACCATGTGTAATGGCTACTGAGAACAAAATGCGATTTATTTATTTCATATATATATATATATATATATATATATATATATATATTTGTGTATTAATTATAATTAAATATATACATGCACACATACACAAACATATATATATATATATTTATTTTAAAATCATAACATATGTATGTTATAATTTTAGGCATGTTATAACATGTATGTTATAATCTAATTCATATGTATGTTATAATTTTAGGTATGTTATAACATGTATGTTATAATCTAATTCATATGTAT